CAGCTCAGCTCCCATACGGACCCCTGCTGGGCCCGCTCCGGACTATCCTCTTCTCTGCTCCTTCTATTTCTCTGCTACGTGTCACAAACCCAATAAAGTGACCTCTGCTTCGTGGCTGAAAGACTTTAGGAGAAATGTTGGCGCCAAGCCACCTCCTGCTGGGATGACCAGCACCGGAGGAGAAACGCAAGGTGAAAAGTCCCCTAAAACGTGAGATTTACTTTGTAGGGACACTTCAAAGACATTTATTTCAAATTACATTAACTAACTGCGATCAGTTTGATTAACATTGTTAATTTTCCAACACAAACTGTGCTAACAATTAAAGAAATTGACATATTGACATGAAAAACAACAACAACTGTATTTATCAACCACCAGGCTTAAGGGCAATTGGGGTTTTGCACATGTCTGTTTGTGTGTCTGTCGTATTAGCAAAACATCAAATGGACTGAACAGATTACAGTGAAACTCTTAGGACGTCATCACTGAAGACTCCTGAGAACTGGAGCGGAGCTGCAGTGTTATACGTCCCAGCAACACCTGAGCAAATATGACCTTCACAGAAGAGTCAACGGGACAAAATGTGTTCTTGAGTTTGAGAGTGGACGCTTAAACATAGCTGATGTAAATTTGGAAATATGCCTTACATGTACAAACAATAGACCATAATTAGGAAAATATATGTTTGGAGGATAAAGATGCATAATTTATAAAAAAAAAAAAAAAAAAAAAAAAAACGTGGAAAAAATCGATCTTTAGGCTCGGATCATTTTACTTTGAGAGGGAATGGATCCAATGTATTTTGTAGCATAATGGCAAATTACACCAGCTATACAAATTATTAAATCCCTATTAAATTAATTCAACCTTTATTTATTCAGGTTAATCCCATTGAGCCTCGGGGACTCATTTACAAGAGAGACCTGAATTTTAACAGAGAGTGATGACAACAGTGGAACAACAAAGACAACAAAAGAGAATCATAAAGGATGCGTACAATAACAAATAAATAAAGATAAGAAACAGTTTGTGCAAATAAATGATGTAAGATCTGACCTCTGTAATATCACATGCGGAGTTCCTCAAGGTTCTGTACTTGGGCCAAAGTTATTTATTTTATATGTGAATGACTTGATAAATGTGCCAGGACTCTTTAAATATGTTCTATTTGCAGATGAAAAGGTTCAGATATTACAAGATATTTTTTCTTCTTTCTACTGCCTTTCATTTTATTTGTGATTGTATTTCTTTTTGTACATAGTATTGTTTTGTTTTTAAAAAATGAATAAACTTTATAAATAAATAAAGATTTAACAACAGGACTATTTTTTTTACCTAAACTACCAGTAATAATGGAACCTTAAGCTTTTACTGTGGCCCTCAAATTTGTAGAAAAACCTCAACAGTACAAAAAACTTGTCTTAATAAATAAATAAATAAAATTTATTTCATTTCTGCAAGAAAAATAGACAAAAATCGTCAAAACAAAAAATGTGCCTTAGCTTCCCCGGGCAGTTTCGCTTCATCACTGCAGTTTAGGATTGAGGCTTTGGTTCCAGATATTTCCCCAGACACCTGATCATGAACGCCAATCATAATGAACACGACTCCTCACTGTGTGGCGCAACAAGAGGAACGGACTGTAACAAACCTTCACTCCGTGACAACCTCGCCACCCTGTATTCGCTCCTATTATCATAGTGAGGCTTCATCATCAGAGGAAGACGAGGAGAAGGAAGAGCTGGGGAAAATCCATGCAGGCAAGAATTGAAGCCTTCCTTCCTTTTAGTCTGCGTCTCTTTGATGTCAAACTCATGAGGGAAATCTGAGCCTAATATGAACTGAGTGAAATGGGGATGTTGCTAAATGATGCAACAGCAGCATAAGATGATTAGTTATGCAGCTCATTCACGACAGCCCCGAACCTTAAAGTCACTAATGTTGATTAGTTGGGCTGCACTGAACTCCTCTGCTCCTGTCTTTTAAGCTGAAAACAGCCACGCTTTAAAAGGGCAGTCTGGTCATGTTTTTATGTGTAATTGGTACATTATCAGCCGAAACATCAGATAGAGAATAAGTCAAATAGCTAGCCAAACAAGGGCCTGGTGGTTCATATTGTTTTCAGTTTTATGAAAACAACTATTTCCTAAAAAATGTTGATGTGAAAGAACGTTACGTTAGTTTTAAACTTCTACATTTTTGGATTTAGTCTGTCAATTTTCTCAACCAAACGATGCCCGTGTTTCTATGCGCATGTACAGTACGTGCGCTGAGCTTAGACGTGAACAGATGGATGAAGCATCTTCACATTTTATTGTTAAACCAGACTTGTCAGGGGATTGTTTGTTTGTTTGTTTGTTTGTTTTTATTGATGCCATTTTGTATTTTGGAGTCAGTGTCTGCACTGCCTCTCTTTCAAGGCCCCTCCTGCACACTCACTAACATGACCCTTTTCTTTAAGCCTCATATAACTAATAAAAACTAAACATGTGTGGGCAATGCATTGAACAGCAAGGTCAGAACTATGTGAATTAACAAAACCCAACATTTGAATAAAAGTTGCTTGAGGTGTGCTTTTATTTTTTTTACTTGTAAAAATGTGCCATTCATTTACATGGAGGGGCAAGTCTTAAAAAATGTTCTGCAGCCACTAGGGGGCACTCATTCTTTGTGGTTTCAACTTCTGGCTTCCTGTCCTGTCTCTAGTTCTAATACAGCTCGTTGGTGCTGAGGCCAAAAGTTTACTCAACTCCCAACCCACTGATACGCTCAGCAGCAACAGAACACCGACATTCAGGGTCGACTTGCCACCAAGTGGGAGTCAACCCATCTGAAATTCTGATTTGGGTTTTGGTTTTGCAGCGTCACCGCTAGGCCTGTCGCAATAAACAATAAATCAATTAATCACGTGATAAATGAAACTTATCGACCACATTTTCATTTGTCATTTTATGGTTTCTTTGTGTCTCTCTCTTTCTGCTGAAGACACTGGATGACAAAAGGCTCAACTCCAGTGCTCTTCACCCTCCTTTCTCTTTTATCTTTAAAATCTGTTTTAACCATCCAAAATCACATTTTTGAATCGTTAAAAGCAGCTAAGCTGAGAAGCTAAGCTACGAGCTAAGCTAACAGGCTGACCTCAGGAAAAACCACTGTCTGAAAGCTCCAAAATTCACGGTTGAAACCTGTGCCTTCGTGTAAAAAGTTGTTTTTCTCTGCAAAAAGAAGCTGAGAACTTGTTTACTGATTTTTTATTAAAAGCTTTGTGTGAAAAAGGCTATGCTAAAGAGCTCAAACCACACAGAGTGTCCGCCATTTTGAGTACTGAAGAGAGACAGCCCATGTCTCGTCAAGGGCCTCCCTCCCATTTTCCTTAAAGAGACACACTGCTCGCTCCCTCACTATCCATCCTTTGGTTGAAACAGTCTTATACTGCCATCCAGTGGTCAAAAAACAGTCCTACACACAAAAGTTAACCAACATTTCTTCTTAAATTTGACATTTACTAATTATAGTCAAATTTCAAACAGTATTATCATTTATCGCAATAATGTCAGAGACAATGAATCACCCAGCAAAATTTGTTATTGTGACAGGCCTAATCATATTCAGTGGTCTTCACATGGCCACCTGTTAAAAAGTTTCTGCAGGTGCCACTGCCAGAATTCACACAGTCTGCTTTGAACATACAGAGTTAAACAAATGTGAATTATTTGAAGAAAAAAATATATACTGACAAACTTAAAAAAAACTGTGAAGTACAAACATGTAGAAGTTTAATATTAGCTAATGTGTTAAACGTTTTAGAAAGAGTTGTTTAATAAGACTGATATCACAACAGATAACTATTTGGTAGAACATCACTTCAAAAATGACCAGACTCTCCCTTTAACTATCTAAATGTACAGTTGACTCAATTTACTGGATATTTACAGATTTATCTGGTAAATATTGACAAAATGACAATAAAACCACAAAAAAGAAAGAAACCAGAACATACAGTATACTGTTTGCTTTTATCTCCAGTGCTTCTTTATATCAGCCTGACTTTTTGAGCCAAATGTCCTCATTCACTGATAAAAATCCAAATTTCTACCTCCTGCTGATGAGTAATAAACATTTAGTCATGCCCAGTTCTCTGAATATTTCATGTCAGCGAACAGATGCCTTTTTCTGTTTGATTCATAAAAACTCATTTTTGCATCATCTTATCTGTTCATAAAAAGGTCTGCTCCGTCAATATGTTGCTTGGTTCACGTCTAATAACGTCACGTCTTACATGCTGCTGTAGTGGCTGAGTTTACAAAGTGGCTGGATGCTGAAGCCAATGATTGTTTCTATTGTGAAACAGAACACATCGCCGAATCTTTACTGTTTAAGAAATGTTAAAATAGAGCAATTGAGACCAAGATGGTATTTGATTCTTTTAAGTACAGCTTTACAAAAAGAGTTCTGCTAAAGAGGAAAGAAAACCCATTATGCTACTCATCCCTCTACAATGTTTGTGACAAAAGCCTCTGAATGTTCTGCTGCCGCCGCTGCTGCTGTGCTTTGTTTAGAGTCCATTATCAGACTCCAGGTTTATGCTTTTATGGGGATTTGCAAGTCAGCTTGTTCATTTAAATGCATTAGATTGAATTAAGCAGGAAACAGCACCTGTTTGCCCTGGACAGAGTATTACAGGAGCATTAAAAAGCCCATCCATCATCCCCCACTAAGGACAGACAGCAAAACAAAAAACCCAACAAATGGAACAAAGGAACACAGCATGTGCAGCAGAGACTCCTGATTTTAAGGTTTCTAAAACCAATTTAGCTGGGTTTTTTTTAGCTTTTTTAGCTGTGAATGGGTTAAAGCTCAGACAAATTTACTCCAAATCAGGGCCCAAACACATGCACTGAGTAAAGTCAGTATTTTATTTGTTTTCTGCAGGTTCAGGGTGAAACACTGACCCAGTTCCACGCACCTCATGGTGCATGAAGGTGTTACTAACTCACCTGCTGGCGACCTGTCTCTCTCCTCCTGCATGGTCCTGCATCCGCTCGGTGAGCAGAGCTGCTCCGCTCCGACCTCCTGCTTCAACCTGAAGGCTCACTGATTGATCAGTTCTTTGCGGTGACAACAACAACAACAACAACAAACGACTTTCACTGATGATCCGTGGTGCTTTCCTTGAGATGTTCTGCAGAGTTCCTCTCTGAAGCTGGATGAAAAGGATGCTGAGATGATGAGGATGCAGGTTGGGTCGGTCCTTTGAGCATCAACCCGCCAAGCAGCGGGAGGAAGAGGAGGGAGAGGATGGTGCGTGTTGATCTGTCGCTCCTGCACCTCCAGCGGTCCGCATGACCCACTTCAGGACCACAACACACGGAGACGAGCCCATTCATTCAGATCGAGTCTCGGGTCTGATCTGAGCTCTTCATGCTTCCTCTCTCTGGCTGAACTCGGATCAGCTGTCAGTCTGTGCGGTCCGTCGGTCCGGGGGAACTTTGGAGCCAGGGAAGGGGAGGAGGGGATGGTTTCAGATGTTCTACCTCTGCTGGTCCTACCAGTCCGCTCTCCCTCATTGTTCACCGTCTCCTCCCCCCTGCAGGTCATACTCACACGCGTTCTGGGTCCTAGCGCCGACCCTGTTCCATGTCAAAGGGGCCATTAAGTTTAGTTTTTGATCCATTTTTTGATGGAACAAGCTGCTCCATGTTTGCATTCTTCATCAGCTTAGGACCTGAAGTGCGTCCACGTCACACAATGACTTTGCCAGCTGTCATCAAGGTGAGGTTCTCCATTAACGAACTCCGCTTTCCTTTGCTGTGCACGTGTACCAACAGGCCAGCCTGTCAGGATTCACAACAGCAAACATCATCAGCAACATATCGGATACTTCATGAGGTTCTGAAAGTAAAGGCTTTTTTAAAATAAAGCAGTTCCACGAAATGGCTGCGCAGACCAGTTCGTCTTGAAACTCTCCGGCTGTTCGTAAAGATGGAGTTCACAGATGAAGGCCACCTCCCGCATGGCATTTTATAAATGAAGTGTGCAGCGAGGAACCAAAGAAAAGGTGTGGAGCAGAGCTCAGCTGTGTTGTTGTGGAGCGTGATGCATTAAATGTGTTTTGGATGTGTCTGTTATAAAACACAATGAATTACCGTATTTTCCGCCGTACATGCCGCACCACCTTATAAGTCGCATTGTCCATATATGTTTAATAAAGTGGAAAAAAAACATAAATACGTCGCTTCGTCATATATGTCGTCACGTTTGTTACGCGTCAGCAGTGACAACCCAGAAATGTGGGCCAGTGTTGTGCCAGAGATCGACTGGCTGCCAAATGGTAGCCGTGGGAGCGTGCACAGGAGGACTTTAAGAATAATTTAACAAGATTAACACTTAAAAACAATAATTTGTTTCCTGGAAATTGTAGCCAAGATGTGTCTCAGTCTAACTTTTGCTTAATAAATGCACTTTGACGATCAAATCAGTTGCATTTCAAAAGCCGATACGCAGAAGCGGGAGCAGAGGGACGACTCACTGTGCATTTCTTCTAAACTTAACACGATAAACCACCTAAAAACAATTACTTGTTTGCTCGACTTTATAGTAAAAGTGTGTCTCAGTTGAACTTTTACTTAATAAATGCACTTTGACGGTCAAATCAGCTTCATTTCAAAAGTATTTGCTGCCTCGGTGCTCCGGGAGTGCACAGAGGGAGGAAATTAGGAAGGAGGAACGCTGCGCATTTCTTTGAAATTTAACAAGATAAGCACCTAAACAATTATTTGTTTGCTCGAAATTATAGCAAAGGTGTGTCTCAGTTGAACTTTTACTTAATAAATGCACTTCAATGGTCTAATTAGCTGCATTTTGCTGGGATGGTGTGGTGAAATGAAGCTGATTTGACGGTTGCTCCAGGCATGATCCCAGAGCTGGGCGAAGGTGGCAGTCTATGGCAAAAAATTGTGTCATTAATAGCCACTTTTACCCATTACATGACACAACGGCATGCTTCAAGTGCCATCTAGTGGCTGAAAATTGTATCGTTCCTTATTTTCATTGTCAGAATGAATGAAAACAGTCATATCTCAGACAAAAATTGGTTTATAAATATGGGAAAAATAACATAATTAGGTCAATTCGGTGTGTAAGTTGCAGGGTATGCAATTTATGCAAAAAACTGTGACTTATAGGCCAACAAATACAGTAACTCACTTTAGCAATCCTCTGTGTAGTTATTTTGTTAACTAACTACTGTTGCTCTTTATCAATATTCCCCCGGCAATAAATCTGTTTGTTGTTTTATTCGGTGAGTCGCCCATCACATACTAATGCAATCAGTTCATCACATTATTTGACTGTGGCACAGCAGCTTTCTTTTACACATGTCAGCTGGTCTGGCTCTGTTACTACCCCTCTTAGCGGCGCAGAGGCGTACCAGAAGTGGGTTGTCTTTGACCCCCCCCTCATTACCTCAATGCATTAAGAAGACACAGAGAGGCTGCCAGAACACGTCTCGGTCCCGAACTGAGGCGTCTTGTGAAAGAGTCTTAAAATTTGCTAACAATTTTTTCCAGCACACATTCTTTAATCTCTGACCCCGTCCATACAAGAACTCTGTCTTCCCAATTGTTTCCCCCCTATTTCTAGAAATGTTTCCATCTACACAGAGACACAGAAAACAACCCAGATGCTGCCACGAAAATACTCCAAGAGAGAAGACATGGAGAAGATGCAGTTAAGAAAAAATATACAAATTCAGGGGCTCCCAATGCTGTTGCTACATGAAAGCAAGGTGAAAACGCTAAAAAACCTTTGTGTAATGCAGTTCCTGTATTCACACATGCACATCACTGCACCCACACAAAGAAACTGGCTGCGCT